TGTAATTCGCAGGTTGCGGCACAAGAAAACGCCAAATACATAATGCCATAGTAGTTTATTATAATCCATACATTTTCGGACTTTTGCTTATGAATTCTTTTGTGTGATAAATAATATTATAAAAACTGGGTTTTCTTTTCATTAAATATAAAATTATTTATCGTTTAATCACCCATAGCCTGGTTCACACTGGATCATTCACCGCCCTTTTCACCACTTACATCAAGGAAACGTACTTTTTGAAAGTCTTCATTCAATTTCGAAAGCAAGTAGAAACTTTTAATTTTATTAACTGAATGAATATTATTTTTTTAGATGGTAGCTATTGCCTACTACTAATTCCATGTAAAGGTACAGCTTTTCAAATATTTCACGAAACACATTTTTCGAAATTCACCGGAAGCTTTACCGAGCTATGGGGGGTCTTTTGCATGTCGTCGTCTCCCACCTTCTAATGCGCGGGACTGCTAATTCGGGTATTTTTGGCGGTCTATACATTCCGGAAATTGGGTTCCCCCCGTCGCGGCGCGCGCCTCGGAAACGCCCGAATTTTGAGAGGGCATCTTCGCTCCCAAAAAACGGCCCATCCCCCCACTAGCTGGAACGTTGCCAAAAGTGCAGCATTTTTCGTTGATTTTGGGTTTCTTTTGAGGCCTAAAGTTCTCAGTAAGGCATCTAACTAGATGTTTCAAACTCCTAGCACGCTATCTTTTCAAGATTTCAGATTTGATATTTTATTAGGATTGAGAGGGACGGCACGCGGATTCGGTCAAGAAACCCTTTTTCTTCAATTTTTTCGAGTCGTCTTACTTTATACATCTCATATTTTCGTTGAATTTGAGGAACCTTCACTTTTTTTCATCGTCCTAAGAATTCAAATTCGAACCATTGCCCTTTTTGGTAAAAAGTAAAAGTAAATATTTCATTTCGACGCAAAATTAGATGTGTAGAGATGTTTCTGACAATGGAGTTCTGCGAAACATTTATTTTTCAAACGCTTTGATCGATTTTTAAATTGAATTTTAATCGATACTTTAAGTTTTTGGGATTTAGACGCTCTTGTTAATTTGGAGTAGATGAACAGACATTTTGTAAAAATCGTACCGACGCCTTTTCCACTTTAACTTCAGTGATTCAAATCCTAGAACTTCCTAAAATCCTAGAAATTCAAATCCGAACCATTACCCCTTTCTAGTCAAAAGAAGAAAATTCGACATCTCATTTCAACGCAAAATTGGATGGGTCAAATTTTTTTGAAAATGGATTGCTGCGAAACATTTGTTTTCTCAACTTTATCTTTCTCCATCCTTTGGTTTCGATTCTTCAATTGTTTAGGGCACCCAAAACTTTTGCAAACTTAAAAATGATTCTTTATAAAAAGTAATTGCTAAAAAATATAATGAAAGAAGATCCCTTTTGAAAAGAATAGAAAAGCTCTTGAAAAGTCGAAAATTTCAAAATTCGAAAAATCCTTTTTACGCCAAAAAGGACTGAGGACTAAAGATGGAAACCCGGTTGTGCACAGAAAATTTTCCGAAACATCGATTTTATCAATTAAAAATTTTCTGCCATTTTTCGCTTTTATTTGCTTTTTACTAAGTCGATACCAGCTGGCGGTGTGCGTAAAATTGAGCCGTAAAAATACCAAAAAACGCGAAAATACCGAATTTTCGAATATTTTTCTTTCCGAGCCCTTTCGGAGGTTTTTGCCCCAGCTCAGCTAATTGGTCCTTTTGCATTACTAGCGGCAAGGAACGAAAATTTTTTGTATAATTTGATATCTAAAATTTATAGTCAAAATCCCGAAATTTTAGTTTATTAATTTTGATCGAGAAATCGAAATTTTGTGTATATTTTTTATTACAAATTTGTAAAGTTTTTACGCTTAGGAATAGTAAAAAGAGCTTAGAAACACTTTTGAAAAATGGATCCTTAGAAAAAGTGTCCCCCCGATAATGCAAAAGAACCAACGAATATTTATTGATTGCCCTGAGCCAAGAGCTCCTTTTGCCGTTTTTTTCCTGGGGCCTTTCCTTTCATGAGATGTGTGTCTTCTTGGGGGGCTTGTGAAGTTTTTGATTAGAAGTCGCCAAAGGGGGCGACACATCTCTTCACGGGTAGAATGACGAGGCGAGAGAGAGAGAGAGCGAGAGACAGAGAGACATCTACACCTCTCCCTGCCATCAAAAATTATTCCAACTAGCACTCCTCCTCCTTGCCTTTCCCGGAGGAGGAGCGACAGCCCCTATATTGCATACACTTTGGCGGGCTCTCCTCTGAAAAGATTGCAACACTTTTTTCTGAATTTTTAAGCGCTTTTCATTTTTTGCTTCTTTTTCGGAATGATGAAACTTTACGTTGATCGTTAGAGTTTGGATTAAGCCTTAGCCTCTATACATCCGGCTTTTTACAATTCGTCTGTAACATCAATTCCACGAACGGGTGAAGAAAAGAGTGTTTCAGGCTTTTATGGAGTTTCTGGGTGTGATTTTGCGCCAGTTTCGTCTCGCTTGGTAAACGAAATCCAAGAATTTTTGACTTCACTGTCGCTTTAAAAATCATGCTTCTTTTTTAAACGAATATCTGGAATTACTATTACAATTCAAAAAAGATTGTAGGTTGATTGGATCGATTTTAAGTTGGTTGCTTTAATTAAAACGATATCATTGATTTTTTGCTTTACTGAAAATACGATGAATTGTGATGTTACAAAATTTTATGGAGTTCTGAGCTGTAATTCTTGCCTAATATCATGATCTTGGAGTAATTTAAGAAATCTTGACTTCACTGCTTCTTTAAACGCCAATTTTCTCCCTCGCGCGATTTTTCGACTTACCCACGAAATCCCGGAAATCTCGGAATTCGTGTGGGCCCCTGGTTGGGCCCCCATTCCTGGGGCCCACCCTCAAATAAATTATTCGAAACCGTGCGACACCCCGCCCAGGGGCCCCGCAATGAGCGCCTGGATTTTTGGTTTATCGATTGGTTCTTTTTATTTTTTGGAATTTTTTAAGAAATTAGGTCTTTAAAGATACCTCCTCAGAAAATTGACTTATTTTCTCCCATTCTGCACGATTTTGCTGTGCATTACCATTTTGCTCTAGTTTTTGGCTTTCTGGTACCTTTAAAAACTCCCTGCCATTAGTGTGTGGCGATCCGGTTACCTGTTTAGGACCTGGAAATCGTCTTAATTTTGGTTATAATATTACTAAAAATTCGTTTTGCTTTTTTCTGCGATTAAGAGGAAAATGTTTCAACGATGTTTGTTTTGCTTCCAATATTTTTGGCTATAATGAATCCATAAGATTTCAACTCTATTAAATTTAAAAGAATTGTACATATTAGGACAATATTCAAGCAGGCTACTTGTTTCAAACAATCAGTGCTTTTGCATTATCGGGGGGATTGTTGAGGAAGCGGAGAGGGCAGGCTAGCAGAGATTGTTGAGGAAGAGGAGAGGGTAGGCTAGCAGAGATTGTTGAGGAAGAGGAGAGGGTAGGCTAGCAGAGATTGTTGAGGAAGAGGAGAGGGTAGGCTAGCAGAGATTGTTGAGGAAGAGGAGAGGGCAGGCTAGCAGAGATTGTTGAGGAAGAGGAGAGGGCAGGCTAGCAGAGATTGTTGAGGAAGAGGAGAGGGCAGGCTAGCAGAGATTGTTGAGGAAGAGGAGAGGGCAGGCTAGCAGAGATTGTTTAGGAAGAGGAGAGGGCAGGCTAGCAGAGATTGTTGAGGGAGAGGAGAGGGCAGGCTAGCAGAGATTGTTGAGGAAGAGGAGAGGGCAGGCTAGCAGAGATTGTTGAGGAAGAGGAGAGGGCAGGCTAGCAGAGATTGTTGAGGAAGAGGAGAGGGCAGGCTAGCAGAGATTGTTTAGGAAGAGGAGAGGGCAGGCTAGCAGAGATTGTTGAGGGAGAGGAGAGGGCAGGCTAGCAGAGATTGTTGAGGAAGAGGAGAGGGCAGGCTAGCAGAGATTGTTGAGGGAGAGGAGAGGGCAGGCTAGCAGAGATTGTTGAGGAAGAGGAGAGGGCAGGCTAGCAGAGATTGTTGAGGAAGAGGAGAGGGCAGGCTAGCAGAGATTGTTGAGGAAGAGGAGAGGGCAGGCTAGCAGAGATTGTTGAGGAAGAGGAGAGGGCAGGCGAGCAGAGATTGTTGAGGAAGAGGAGAGGGCAGGCTAGCAGAGATTGTTGAGGAAATGCCAACTTCATGCGGATTTCCATATCCCACCCCTTTCTAAATACAGATAAAAATCTGAAAATAACTTTGCCAACTCCAGTCCCCAGCAAGTTTAATTGCGGTCGAGGTGTTGTGTATGTGAAGGGCCCCGTGGCAGCTTGCTTTTTTCTGTTCACACTGAAAGGCGACAAAATAATTACCCTCCCACCCCAAAATTACGGGTCGCCCGCGTCGTGGGCCCCTGGCGGCCGGCTTGGCCCCGCGGCCTTCACAAATTGTTTGGCCTCCCATCACCTCTTCGCACTTTTTTGTGCGAAAAACTTCATGTTCGAGGTGACACTCCAGATTTTGTGAGCTGGGCATTAATCTTTATAGAGCCTTAAGCTATATTTTTGTTAGGATTTGTTAGCAGTGTGCCGCAAATTTTGATCAAAATTTATTCACCTGAGCTGTAGCAATTACAAAATTAAAATGAGCTATTAAACAAACTGTAAAAATTCAAGCGTTTCGATACGTCGATAAAGATAATTTCACCAAAATTGCAAAGAATGAAGACCTATGAACCCACTATTGATCGAATCCTACACGCCGGAGTTTTGTACTGTATTGAAACAGAATTTTTTTCATCATCCCGGTTTTTCTGGCACCTTGTCTTTTTTAAGGGTGTAAAAGCTGCTTACTCGCCTTCGCGATTTTTCCATCTGCACATCCGATCGAGAAGTTGCGCTTATAAGATCCGGCCGGCGGTAAGGTGATTCCAAATAAGCGATTGTGTACAATAGTGAGACTGTCCCGAACAAAAACAACCGTGTTTGCCAGTTTTTTGAAACATCATGTTGTTTCCGCCACGTAGGGCTGATCCCACTAATTGAAGCCTAATTTAAGTGCCTTAAAACGGTTTAAATTCGTCTACTAGATAGGTGTTCGGCTCGTATGTAAAATGTACTAAAACCCGATTTCCCCTCACTGCAATATTTATAGATGTAACATTTTTTTAGTGTAACAGTTACACGGGTTTTCAATTTTTATCATTTTCGACGAGTTACGTCATTAGACTCAAGATGGATCCGATGTGAAAATCTATTGCTCGGAACGCCCCCAAGGTGGCTTTTGTAATTTTTGCTAAACGTCATTTTTCATAGAATTGCTGCTTCCTACTCCATAACGGATTATTATTGCTGCCTAATACGCATTTTTAAAAATTCTGAAACACGATTTTTGCGATTTTTATTGACGTTCCCCCGTTTTTCTTTCATTTTGATTTTTTTTTACCTCGTAAGCGCCACTATTTTTCGTATTTCCTGATTTTCCTGGATGCTGATGTGGTCGCTCAACCTAAGCATTGCGTTTAAACAATCGTGAAAAAACATTCGTGTTCGATTGATCGGATTCAACCGCACTTTTTTTAAAACTTTCGAAACATCATCTTTTCACTGCTTGAATTATTTTGATCTCATTTTTGCTTTGTAAAAAGGTATTTTGATCTTTTAAATTTCCCTATATGCAAATCACCTCCGCCCATTGCGTTTAAAGGACTGGGGCCGGCCGTCCACAGTACCAGCCACGCGACCGGGCGAGAGAGCGAGAGAGAGCGAGAGAGAACGAGAGAGGAGAGATTGAGATGATCTACAAATGAAGCGGATGAGATGCAAACCCGTGGACCACTCTCATTCTATAGGCATCGCAGAGTAAAAGGTTCCCCCTGGTTTCGAACTCGGCGATTAATTGACGTACGATAGTTAATCCAAAAAGAACAAATGAATTTAATAGCAAAAACAAAAAAATTGAAATCAATAATATTTCTGAAACATCTTTACATTTTTCTGTTTCAGGACACGGGCGTGACTCTTCGTATCACCACGCGGCCGTCGTTGAAGTGGGTTTATTATTTAATTTCAACCCTTCTGTACAAAATCCTACTTGTCATTTTACCAACAAAACGCGATTTAAAAATAGCATGTTACATCGATGAAACATGCTGTTTCAATTTGCGGGAAATAATTTATCTTATCTTCCATTTTTACCGTAATTGAATTTCGCAGGATAACATTGTATGGCGATGTTTGAATTAAACAGATGCGGCCCATTTCTGAGTCTAAAATCCAAGAAATAATTTTGCAACATCTGCTAAATTACTTTTACCAGCTCTAATTTTACAAGACGATCATCGCACGAACATTAAAGTTGGTGCCCGCTGTTTTAAGAGTGTTTTTATTGAAACATACTATACTAAAAGCGGATTTTGCTTACATAATGAGATTAATTAGCTGGAATTTGATTTTAATGGATTATGAATTGAACTTTTAGAGTATAATTGAACTGAATAAGATTGGATAATTTAAATGGTTTTCGAATAAAAAAGGCTTGGTAAAACATACATGACAATTTTAGGCTATCCGACAAATCTGTAAAATTACTGTAAAGAATTTACTTGCCTTTAACTTTATTGATCAAAAACTACAGCAATCCCCTAATTCAGGTGGGAGCCATGGTGCTCCAAAATATGTTCAGCGCCCTCTCCTTTCTCCACTACCGCAAAGACGACGACTTCGTAGACAGGTGCGCGCCGGAATATTGTAGATTTTGTGGTAAAATTCCATGTTTAATACGAAAGCTTGCAAAGATGAAAAACAATTTTTCTCAATGTTACTTTTGCGAAGGCCACTTGTTGAGAAAGATACCAATAGCTTTTAAGAAACGTTGCGATATCGCAATTTTATTGAAACATTGTGGCGCAAAAAAAGATTTTGTTTAGTTTAATACAAAACATAAATTTTATAATGCATTAAAATAATTTTTGGGGTGAATTTTGAAGCGGAAATAACTCACTCTCTGAATCCCCAAAAAACTGACAAAATCAGAAAAAAACGCCAATAGAAACCCACATCTCTCCAACAAATAGGACCGTATTGGCTTGGTAACAATATTCAGGTAAAGGATTTTCGTCGAAACATATTTCGGTCAATCATCCTAAGCGAGATTTTTAACATAATTCATTGTTGTTTTATAAAAACAAGTATAAGAACAACACATAAAGGAATTTATTTTCTAATAACGATACGGCTTTTGCTTGTTCAGATTAAGCTACTTCTACACCTCATCCTTTCTAATAATGATGGCCGTGCTCGTCAGCTTCAAGCAGGTACCAAAAATATGTTTTATAAAAGTGTTCTTTTGAGTGTGGCAGTGGGACTTTAATACACTATCGCCACTCGATGCACAACTTTGGAATAATAGGCCACACTTTACTGACCCTCCCCCCCACCCCAGCCGGAAGTTTTTGGCTATAAAATTTTTATTTTACACCAGGCTTGAAAAGCCGCTTCGCGACTTTCCAACCCTGGCCCCGTCTGAGCCCATGTTATTCTTCACTTTGCATAATTCGCCCGGGCTGCGATGAAAAAATAATGGAAAACGCTCCCACTGACCCTTTATATCGATCCCACCACTTCCGGCGTATGCAAATTGTTTCCTAACAAAGAGGGTGCCCGAAAATTTCACTAAAACCTTGTGGGGGGGGGGGGGTAAGGTAAAGTCTTGCCGAATAATATATTTCTCGATGTATTATTACTTGCTCTTTTGAATCGAGTAACTAATAATATATTAGTATAGTATATAATATAAAGTGATTAATACAAGTAAATTTTATTACTTAAGTTTGGCGGCCGTCCACTGGAGTGCTGGGTACCCGCCCAGTTCACCGCTTCGTGGGAGGCGTACACGGAGATGTACTGCTGGGCGCAGAACACCTACTGGGTACCCATCGAACAGGTCAGTCCTACGGCATCAGCTTTTTCCATATTACATTAACTCGATATATTTTGAAATATTTGATACCTTTAATGAGATTAAATCAAGCAAATTTTTTTATTCCTTCATTTCAAGCTTTTACATTTTAAAAAATAGATGTTGCTCGAAATATCTGTTCCTGCGTTGAGAATGTCCAACTAATCCTTATCCACTCGAAATACCCCATTTCAAAATTCATGATTTCGAAAAATCAGCATTGCTAAAAGTCACCATTGGAAAATCAGCCTTGACGGTTCAAGAAAACATGTTTCTTAAAATTCCTGTTCCTGCGTGGAGCATTTCCAACTAATCCCTGGCTTGACGACATTCTATTTCTTAATTAATTAAATAATTATGAAATTAATTTACTGCCGCAACAAAACGCCTGTTTTTAGCAAAATGACTTTACATTTAATCGAAATTGATATACATTAAAAAACTCAAACTTTAATTCTAGAAAAATATTTCGAAAAATGGCCTTTTAGGCTTAGAACATTTAATATATTGTTGCATTCTTATGTGCTTGATGGTTTTTCACTAGCTGTAAATTTGATATGGGTTATCAATTTTTCAAAAAATTTGTTTTAAAAACGTATGGGACTGGGAGAATTCCGAAAACCGCAATGTCTCTTTAAATTGGCTTTTGAAATTAAAATCCTGGCCATATAAAATTGGATTAGCAAACTAGATGCCAAAGAGGTTTTATTTAGCTTAACGGGAGTGGACGATTCGCTGAAGAAAAATTATGTTCCTTAAAAAGAATTAGGTAGAGCACCTGACGAACGAACTAATTCCATTGTGTAACGCGGTTATGCACTCTTTTCGTAATAGGTCGTAACCGTTTTGTTGATCATCTAATCTTAATTAGATTTCACTTAATTTATTGTTTTAATTTAGTATTCAAATCTTTAGACTTACGTAATATACAGTCTAATAATATCTAATTGCTTGTTGATCGCCATTTAGAACAGTGATGCCTCCATCCGTTTAAAAAAGCATATTTTTTGTTTTCCTCATTTATTGAATTTTATGTCGCTGGTAATCCTAATAATAATCATCCAGTATTTTTCACAATTATTAGAAAAGGTATGTAACAAAAGCGGCATTGTTCGATGATTTTTGTTTACTAGTTTTTAATCAATAAACGCAATATTTCTAATAACATACAGCAAAAAGAAAAAACAGCAATAAAACATAAATGAAAATTGTGAAAAATTATGCACATTTTGACGAAAAACCATGTTTCATAAAAAATTATGAATATGTGCAGCAAATTTGGATTAATTCGTGTGGGCTTGCATTTTTAACACAACTTTTTTGGCCTAATACATCCTGTGAGTTATCTAAAGGTATATTCAATGGCCAATAAAAACAACAGCAAACTAATTTAAAAACACCGCGAAAATTCCAGGACATTCCGGTGGACATCAGCGAGCGGGAATACCGGCAAATATCCTACTACCAGTGGGTGCCGTTCTTCTTGTTGATACAGGTATTTTTGCACTTATTAAACCAACCTAATTGCTATATTAATACAATTAATCTTCAATTAAATTCAGGCCTTTCTCTACTACATCCCCTGCCTTATGTGGAGGCTGATGAGCGATAAATCGGGTACGCGAATTTTTGTGCTAAAAAGTTTTCATAAATGTCAAAGTAAATAAAATTTTCTGCGGAACTAATTTTTTTAATCTTTTTATTAGCGTTTTCCAGGTATTCGCCTGAACGACATTGTCCAGATGGCGACTGAGAAGGAAAATATCGAGCCCGACTACCGGATACGAACCATCGAATCGCTTAGCCGACATATCGAATCAGCGCTCAGGTAGGGCGAGAGAGAGAGAGAGAGAGAGAGAGAGAGAGAGAGAGAGAGCGGGCGGGCAAGCAGAGATTGTTGAGGAAGAGGAGAGGGCAGACTAGCAGAGATTGTTGAGGAAGAGGAGAGGGCAGACTAGCAGAGATTGTTGAGGAAGAGGAGAGGGCAGACTAGCAGAGATTGTTGAGGAAGAGGAGAGGGCAGGCTAGCAGAGATTGTTGAGGAAGAGGAGAGGGCAGGCTAGCAGAGATTGTTGAGGAAGAGGAGAGGGCAGGCTAGCAGAGATTGTTGAGGAAGAGGAGAGCGCAGGCTAGCAGAGATTGTTGAGGAAGAGGAGAGGGCAGGCTAGCAGAGATTGTTGAGGAACAGGTGAGGGCAGGCTAGCAGAGATTGTTGAGGAAGAGGAGAGGGCAGGCTAGCAGAGATTGTTGAGGAAGAGGAGAGGGCAGGTTAGCAGAGATTGTTCAGGAAAAGGAGAGGGCAGGCTAGCAGAGATTGTCGAGGAATCGAGGGCCTGCTATTAATGCGCAATTTCAGATATCAACACACGGCCACCTCCCGCACCCAATACACGCTGCACCGAGTGTTCAAATGTTTCAACATGCGATACTACGAGAGCTACGTGACTGGCCTCTATCTGGTATGTTTTTTACTTCAAAATATTGGGTCAGATTAGTACGCGCTCATAAGATTACCGTGTTTTTTGCAGGCAGTACCATTCGCCGAAACATTATAAAATCATCATTCTTTTTAGAACGACTCCAAAATTACTATAAAAATTGAAAAAACCCGGTTTTACTGGGAAATTAACGAAGTTCTGGAGGTGGAGCCCATGTAATGAGGCGCTATGCTCTGCAGTGCGAGGAAAATTTTAGAATGGTTTCCAGGACCAATTATATCATCAGAATTCCGGCAAACAGGGGCGATAGTTGAAACATTTTTTAACCCGAGTGATGGGGGTTTTGGTTCCAAATACTATAAGTTTTAATCCGATGGAGCGCAAGTTCTGCAAATTTCAATAACCTAGAGCATCAATACCTCTATTGGAAAAGTATGTAGTGAATTTTGTAACGATTAAAGCTCGTTCAAACAAGTTAGAAAAACCTCTAAAAGCGACGAGGCCGTGAAAAGGATCGGTTGGCGAAGAACGCGATGACTGACTCCCCAATTGATTAGCCGCAAAAAGTTTGCAAAAATTATTCGCCGATCATGAAACATACTTTTTTAAGCCAAAGTGGCATTTTTCTCTGAAATGAATTTAACAATTTGATCACCAAACGCGCAATAAGCATCGTTCATTCGGAACCTATTTCGCAAAGAAAAATTGCCTTTCATTCAGTTCGCAGAATTGCTACAAAACATGAAACATTTTAATACACAGCGACAATCGGCAAAAAAGTCAATCTTTTCAAAAATTTTTTTTACAAATACATCAAAAGAGGAATCTATGCGATCCATTAAGCAGTATCATGAATTACTCGGTCCTTATTTTCCCGCAACTTCTACAAAACATGAAACATTTTAAACCAAACACGGCGTTAAGTACACAATTCTTTTCAAAAAATTTTTTATTCCTGACACAAAAATCATATACATAAATAAAAAAAGGAATCGATAAGATCTAATACGAAGAATCGAACCAGAGATGCAACGAGAGAGAAGAAGAGCGAGAGATTGGGCCCCGGGCGAAGAGGGCACAGAAAAATGGGGCAGCATAATGACTTGAAAGCATTTTCATTTTTGTTTCCGTTTTATTATTTGGTGGTAGGCGGGCAGGCGGCAGGAGTCGTAGCGGTAGTTGAAAAGTGGGCGTGGCCTATGGACGGCGCTGGTTGTTGTTGTTGTTGGTGGCCGCCGAGTGGAAGGAGGTCGAGGAAGAGGAGGAGGAGGCCTAGAAAAGGTTTTTTGCGTTCTCTCTCGCGCTCTCTCTCTCCCGCTTTCTCTCTCACTCTCTCTCTCACTCTCTCTCTCTCTCTCGCGCTCTCTTACCATGACAGGAGGAGGCGGCTGGCGCGACGTCACCGAGAAGGACAGCGAGCGGGCAGAATCTAAAAAATTCAAATTAAGCTTAAAATGAAAATTACATACCATTTGAGGTAGCATACGGATTCGGGGTGGAGCGGACCGGACCGATGGCACGGGTAGACATCAACTGAAAAAAATCAATTTCCTAGCTAAATCTCTGCTAGCCTGCCCTCTCCACTTCCTCAACAATCTCTGCTAGCCTGCCCTCTCCTCTTCCTCAACAATCTCTGCTAGCCTGCCCTCTCCTCTTCCTCAACAATCTCTGCTAGCCTGCCCTCTCCTGTTCCTCAACAATCTCTGCTAGCCTGCCCTCTCCTCTTCCTCAACAATCTCTGCTAGCCTGCCCTCTCCTCTTCCTCAACAATCTCTGCTAGCCTGTCCTCTCCTCTTCCTCAACAATCTTTGCTAGCCTGCCCTCTCCTCTTCCTCAACAATCTCTGCTAGCCTGCCCTCTCCTCTTCCTCAACAATCTCGGCTCGCTCACCTCAACCTCAACAGCGTTGGCCCTGGGCTGCTGGTGGAGCCTCCAACTCGGCTGGGTCGGGGTGTAAGGGATGGCAGGCGAGTCTGAATTCCAAATTAAACATTCAGATCAAGGCTTAAGTTTAAAATTATCCAATTTTTTGATAGTAATTGTTAAGCGGAACCAAAAGCATGTTTCAAAAATCTTAATCAATCGAGCGATTTTGCTACTTTTAATGCGAGATTGCATTGTTGCTTACCCAAAAGCCCCTTCTCGTATCCGGTGGGCGTGGTGATCTTGTAGGACGAGTCGGTGGTCACCATGTCACTGGAAAAAAGGATTAAGGGCTTTACAAATTTTAGAATGGAAATCGATGTTCGTAAGTTACATAATATTACAGCACGAAGCCCTAAACACCAAATACAAATTATTTTTTTGAGAAATCGAAATGTTTCACCAAATTCTAATCAACAAGATGGCGTAGCGAAATTAATTTTATTCAACTTTATCATAAATTCTGGTAATTCATTTCAGGTTATCGCTATTGTTAATGGGATATACAGTAAATATTGCCGCATTAAAAGGAAATGAAAAATAGTAAAAATACAATATATGAAAAAAAGTTTCAAGAAATCGCAATTACCAACGCGGAATATCGAATCTAAATTATTGCCTGAAGTCACTCCGTAGTTCATTTTCTGCAATCTTAAAGGACGGCTAAAGCAAAATAAGCAATTTTTATGAAAAAAAACAAAATTAGAATGTTTTCATTTAAAATTTGAAGCTCCCAGTCCTTTTAAAGGACTACAGAAGTCAGTAAATCCATAGTCTCCAACAAAGCTACAAACTACATTCCCAAGAGACCCACTCGAGCAGACGGTGGATGGGCTCGAAGCGCGGCGTCTCCAGGTCCGAATCGTGCAGCGCGACGGCCGGGCTGGGCGGAGCGCGAAGCGCGCTGCCCTCGCGCTGCGCGGCGTGCACGCTGCGGCTGCCCGACATTGACGAGGCGTAGTACAGCTTGTCGTGCTGAAAGCAGGGGGTTTGGCGTTTTAAACTAGAAATCAGGGTTCTTGTGCATTATCGAGGGGGGGATTTCTCCGACCTTGGCCTCCTCGCTTAGGATGCAGTAGGCGGGAATGCGGTCCTCATCAGAGGTCTCTTCGGAGTCGTCCTCCTCGGAGTCGGCGTCATCTTCCGAAGTCTCGTCCTCGGATGGGCGGCGGTTCTGGAGAGGGCGCATTAATAGATATTTGCTGTTGCAGCTCAGAAAAGTTCCTAAATGATCTCTGCTAGCCTGCCTAGCTTCAGAATTCTAGACGACATGTTCTAGAGGGTCAAAACCTTGCTAAATCTTCGATTCGAAATTGTCGAATTTTTAAATTTTATCTGTCCCTCTTGAAGTCGTGCGACGTCTTCTAGCCGTTCAACCCCACTACTCCAATTCCCTCTGCTAGCAGTCAGCCCTTCGAAAAGCCGTCCGGCCTCTTCTAGCCGTTCAACCATCGAATTCCCCAACTCCCTCTGCTAGCTCCCCCTACCCACCCGATGCCAAACACCATCACTCCGCCCGGCGCCAAAGCGCAGCGCCGTCTTGGTGGTGACGCTGTGGGCGGTAGCCGGCCCTCCGCCCGGTTCGTCGATCTTGACCGTTTCGCCGTCGTGGTTGTCGATGCGGACGGCAGTGGCGAGGCGACGGGCCCCGGCCGTGTTCGTCGACAGCGTCCCCGGGCGCTGGGTCGACATCATCGGCGTGGTCACCGACGTCTGAAGCAGAGACTTGGGCTTAGGCTTGGGTCTAAGCTTAGGCTTAGGCTTGGCTTTAGGCTTCTGCTCGGGCTTAGGCTTAGCGTAGCCTAAGCTTACCCGACTGTCCACTGGCAGACTGGCGACGCCGCGGATCGTCGGGTCCGTGGCGCACGTCTCCACGACGATGGCTAGAAAATCGTAAAGTTCTCCTTACTGTCACCGCCCCTTTAAAAACCAAGAAAACCCGGAGTTGAGCAGCACCTCGCCTGTTCACCACCGTCTTGGAGCCCTGGGTGCTCTGGGCGGGGAACGACCAGTCGGTGGCCATTTGCGTACCGTCGCTACGCATCGGCGTACGGCTGAGCTGCGTCTCGGCCCTGAATACGGTAGTGTGTACATAGGAATGTAGCGTAGCGTCGCCTACATTTTGGCCGACTGCGACTGGATACGCGCGGTGGCCATCAGCGTCACGGCCGTCAGGGTGCTCTGAGCAGGCTAGAAGCGATTGTTGAGGACGAGGAGGGACCACCCCCCCCCCCGTTAACAGTCCAGCTCCAAAAATCCTTACCCTGGGATTGACAGTCCTCGGGTTTGTCCTTCCCGCGCTGGCGGCACTGTTGGCGACGACCGTCGTCTCATCCTCGACGACCACCATATTCGGGTCGGTCATCAACATCATGGCCGGGGTGGGCAGCGTGCGAGCGCTGGTCGTCGGCACGGGCGCGCCCGGGGTGGCCGTGGCGGGGCAGGTGGACGGCTCGGGGGCGGGGCTTCCGCGCTCTTCGGACTGCTCGACCATGTCGCTCACCACGCCGGCCAGCGTGACGGTCCTGGTGGACGCGCTGGCGAGGCTGGAGGCGAGGCGCGGGGGCGCTGGCGCGGGTGGAGTGCCAACGGTCGGGCCCGCGTCCCTAGATGAATTTTTGGGGCCAAGTAAAGAGCATCTACGTGGAATTGGTGATGGACTTTTGGAAGGAGTGGCCGCCGCCTGCACGAGCCGAGGTGTCACTGAAAACGATGGTTTTAAGGAGCCTCGAAGCCCTAGCCTAAGCCTAACCTAGGCCGAAACTCAGCCTAAGCCTAAGCTAAGCCTAATTGAAGCCTAAGCTATTGAAGGCAAATTCTCACCCATCATTGTCGGCCTCAGCAGACGGCCCACCGCCTCCGGGGTGCACCTGGCCGGCTGGCTCGTCGCGGGTCGAGCTGAGCGCCTGTTGACGCTTGCGCCAGCAGCGGTAGATGATCACGGCGAACACGGCACACTGGATGATACCCAGGCCCACGACGACGGAGATGGCCAGCACGGCCGCGTTGCCTGAAGAGGGGGCGGTACAGAGAGAGAGAGAGAGAGAGAGAGAGAGAGAGAGATAGGAAGAGAGAGACCCACTCATTCCATCAGATGGTGGATTCCTGTTGGTGATGCGCGGGTTGTTGTTCAGCAACGACCCAGCGGTCTGTTGCTCTTGAGCTCCATCGACTGCTCCAGAATCATTGGCATGGGCCCGCTTGCGGAGTTCGCGATTCGAGGGCTCGAACTGGGGCAGTGGCGTCTAAAGGAACGGAGTGTCGACCAGGTTTAGGCTTAGGCATAGACAAAGTACCGTACCGTGTCGGTCCCGCTGATGATGTTGTACTCGACGCGCTCGAGCTGGCCGCCGGCGCGGCGCACAGCTTCGTTGACGGGCACCAGGGCCCCGCTGGCCTTGTCGAACACGCGCAAGTCATCGCCGTTGAACACGAAGCCGTCCGTCGAGGCGCCTATAAAAACTGGCGATTACAAAGACACATGAAAAATTTTTGAAACGGTTCTTGATCAAAGTTTTAAAAATACATGTTTCATGACATGGCCAGAAGCAAATATATAAATTTTTGAGAATACAACTGGGCCCATGTCACTAAAATGTTTGTTTCACCAAATTTCAAAGGTTTGCAGCCCAGAAAAAAACTGAATCATGCTTATTAATCCATTCGAAAGTTTACGAATCCGAAGCCGTTCAAGTTTTCCCAGTCATTCAAGCTTTCCAAGTCATTCAAGCTTCCCAAGCCGTCCAAGCTTCCCAGGTCGTTCAGCTTTCCAAGCCGGTCAGCTGTTTAAGCCTTCCAATCTGTCCAAGTCTTCTAACATGTAAGGCATCCAAGTTTTGCAAGCTACTGAAGCTTTCCAAGCCGTTCAAGCTTCACAAGCCGCTCAAGTTTTCGAAGTCGCTTAACCCTACTTTAACCGCCTTCTGTCATACCGAGCTTGAACGTGAGCTTGGCCTGCTTGAGGGTGGTTCGCATGTCCTCCTCGCGAACGCCGATCAGCATCGGCTTCGGGACCGCCAGCGGGAAGGAGAGGGCTAAACCACCGAATTGAATTATGGTATTACATCTTTTATAATATCCAAATTAACTTACGCGGAATGTGGCGTACGGTGGCCGGCATGTCGAACAACTCGCGGAAATCGACCAGTTCCAGCGTGCCGTAGTCGAGCAGCATGATTTGGACCTAGGAAAAGGGCCTGTTTTTTCACTAGTAAAATTCATTAAAACATCTATCAAAAAAAGATAAACACCCCCGCTAGTACACTAGTACCGCCAACGAGCAAATACCTCGGCGGCCGTTTCGCGGTTGAGCACCACCGCACGATACCAGACTTTTTGGGGGCCGATTCGGGTCACAGCCAGATCGCCTGGAAATAAAAGCAAATTAATACCTTCCTAAATGGTCTCTGCTAGCCTGCCCTCTCCTCTTCCTCAACAATCTCTGCTAGCCTTCCCTCTCCTCTTCCTCAACAATCTCTGCTAGCCTGCCCTCTCCTCTTCCTCAACAATCTCTGCTAGCCTGCCCCTCTCCTCTTCCTCAACAATCTCTCTAGCCTGCCCTCTCCTCTTCCTCAACAATCTCTGCTAGCCTTCCCTCTCCTCTTCCTCAACAATCTCTGCTAGCCTGCCCTCTCCTCTTCCTCAACAATCTCTGCTAGCCTGCCCCTCTCCTCTTCCTCAACAATCTCTCCTAGCCTGCCCTCTCCTCTTCCTCAACAATCTCTGCTAGCCTGCCCTCTCCTCTTCCTCAACAATCTCTGCTAGCCTGCCCCTCTCCTCTTCCTCAACAATCTCTGCTAGCCTGCCCCTCTCCTCTTCCTCAACAATCTCTCCTAGCCTGCCCTCTCCTCTTCCTCAACAATCTCTGCTAGCCTGCCCCTCTCCTCTTCCTCAACAATCTCTGCTAGCCTGCCCTCTCCTCTTCCTCAACAATCTCTGCTAGCCTGCCCCTCTCCTCTTCCTCAACAATCTCTCCTAGCCTGCCCTCTCCTCTTCCTCAACAATCTCTGCTAGCCTGCCCTCTCCTCTTCCTCAACAATCTCTGCTAGCCTGCCCTCTCCTCTTCCTCAACAATCTCTGCTAGCTGGCCCTCACCCTTCCTGGGGTTGTTCAGCTTGGCGAGCGTCTGCGTGACGGCCAGCTCGCGGTGGATCCACTCGAGCGAGTACTTGGCGGTGATTAGGTGCAGCTCCAGCTGCTGCTCACCTAAAAAGAGAATAACAGTTAATACACTTAAAGTACCCCGGAATGTCGAGACAACAGCATCGACGTATTCGCCTGGTTGGGCGGGGATCGTCAAGGAGGGCAACCCGGGGATCGTCCAAGTGGTGGCATTTCCTGAAAATTAAAACCATGTGTTTCATCAAGCATTTCAGATGCGGAATTATTTCTGCCAGATCGTAGAGCGTTTTTGCAACCCAAGAACCAGAAAAATCCATGAAAATCGTAAACCCAAAAGCAATCATTGTGTTTCAATAAAATTCGCATAACCGGAAACTTGGGAAGCAATGAAAAAATTGCTCACCAATATGGGCGCCCATTCGGGCGGCTGGGGGTGGATGGAGAATGACAAAAACTGGCATAAGTTTTTTCCAACCAAATATGCTAATTTTGGGAGCCAAATTGCCGAAATTAAAATTTTTCTGCCTGGAGTAATAAAATGTTTTAATCTAATTTTCGTAAAATGTCGACGCAATGAAAAAGCCAGGATCAATACCGCATATTACAATTTTAATGATTTTTTTCATTCAAAATTCATTCATTTCATTCAATAATTAGGGATTTTGACCACTTCTCGACTGCGGTTTCTCCGATGGGTCGTAATGGAGAATTTCAGTAAAATCTACTAACTCTACTTAAAATGTACCGAAATAAAGAACAAGCCTAGTTTAAGCAAAATTGGTGAATTTTTTCAGGCGACAAAAATCATGTACGTCGGCAACATTCTGACCAACCTGGTGCTGGTGAACAAGTTCTTGGAGACGGACGACTACTCGGTGTACGGCTTGGGCGTGTTGAGGTGGGCCGGATAGTTCTTAATATCTAGCCTTGCGTTGTGCTTGTTAATTGATGTCGACCTTTGTCTATTAAACAAGAGCGTAATTTTGCGTGAAGGCGGTTGTCTGAAACATCTTATCTGATAAATGAAACCTCCGGTTTTTCAGGGATCTCCTATTCGGGCGTAGCTGGATGGAGTCGGGCAATTTTCCACGCGTCACCTTGGTAAGTTATTTGGTGCTGTTCTATTTCGCGGGGGGGGGGATTTTCTTCGTTTTGTTATAACTCTTTTACATGATGCTATTTTGAGTTGTAATTAAAACTCTTAGTATATTTTATGACGCTCTATCGAATGGCATTAAAGAAATTTTTGAAAGTTATCGAAAATGACGAAAACTAGCTTTCGACTCCACGATCCCATGTGGAAACACCGAATAAACCTTGTTTTTGCTCTAACTATTTTATAAAACAATATTTTTAGATGAAATTAAAACTCTTAGTATATTTTTTGATGCTCTATCGAATGACGGGTTCAAAATATCAAAAAAATGGCGAAAATGCCGGAAACTAACATTCCGGAAACAGTTTAAATAGTTTTTTTTTGTTTTTGCTATAACTGTTTTATATTACAATATTTTTAGCTAAAACAAAAACTCTTAGTATATTTTTTGATGCTCTATCGAATGGCGTTGCAAAAATCCCGAGAAAATAGCGAAAAGATGGAAGGTTCCGCGAAGAAAATCCCCCCCGCACAGTTTCCCCCCCCCCCGCGAAATAGAACAGAACCAGTTATTTTATAATGAGAAAAAGAAAAGTCCTGACCAGCTCTGACCTAAACTATTAAAAAGCCATTTTTCGCGTATCTAGCCAGCTAGCTAAGCAAAAATGTTATATTCTTCTGTACTCGCGCATCATTTTCCACGTTTTCGCTCCATAAAAAAATAGTCATCGGGTTTTTGAGGAGCGACAAAGGTCAGCCGAGATGCTCAGCTTCCCTGTCCCTGGCAGACGTTAAAAATAACAAATTTTAGTGTGATTTCGAGGTGCGCGTGCTCGGGAACAACCAGCGGCATTCGGTGCAGGTAATGGAGACATTTTGGAGTTTTCAATTTATTCTACTAATTCGCCCCCGCATTGTTTATCTAAATAACTCGTTGTGCCAAGTAATAAAGTGAAACATTCATCAGCATCGCTTGCCTTTTGCATATAAAAGAAACTTTTTCTAAATTATAAGGTGAAACATTAATTTTAAACCGCTTGGAACTGCTTAAATTTACGATCTTTGTTTACAGTAACATAATAGTAAATTTAGAAGCTTTTTCAAGCGCGGCGAGGTTATTTACAACTATCTTATAAAAACCCGTTTCGCTTTCTTTATTTATTTCCGAAAAATATGTTTCGGAAAAAATTAAAATATAGCAAATTAGGTACCCATTATTCATTGGAACATTATTTAGAGTATGTATTCCTGAAACACATCGGAAATTGCCAAAATTTAGCATAGTGGAAAACACCCTTTTAGCCTTTTCTTTTTAAGTAAATTTTTTTCAAGAAAATTAAAAATCTGTACTTTTTCCAAAAAAATAGTTCGCATAATCGCCTCTAATTCTATCCTTTTCAGTGCGTGCTGGTGATCAACATCTTCAACGAGAAGATCTTCATCCTCATTTGGCTGTGGTTCACGCTCCTGTTCATCGCCTCCACCCTCGACATGCTCTACTGGTTCAGCATTTCGCTTTTCCACCGGGACAGGTAGTTTGCAGCCTGTAGTTTGTAGTCTCGCCCTCGATACAGGTTCCGCTTCGTGCTGCGGCACCTGGAGCTGACCAGCGACCCCGACAAGCCCGAGCTGTTCAGGAAGGAGAAGCGGAAACAAGTCGAGCACTTTTTGAGGACTTATTTGAAGGTATTGGAAGACATGACAAACACCGTATTAAAGCAAAAAATGAGACTAATTAGCTATACCTAGACGAAACTTAAAATTACAGGGTGCCCCAAAAAAACGACCCATCTGGCATTTTGCCGTGTTACATCCAATCGGTCCCAAATTTGGACCAGGGGTGTATCCGACCGTAAATAACAACAATCCTGACTTATAGCCCTGTTGCTATAGTAATTCTCGAGTTATAGCAAAAACAAACTTTATTTTCCGTTTTTCATGGTGTTTCCGTGGGATTAGACCCCCTAAACATTAAGCGAAAATGATTCGGCAAACCTTCTTTACCTCAAGAAATTTTTTCCGAACTAAAATTGATTGAATAAGCTTCGATTTAAGCGATTTTTACAACGCCAAATTACCCCAGATCTTAAGCGAAATTAGGGATTCGCGGCCGGAAGTCGATGCAAAGTCCAAAAAGACAGCCGAAAAACTGTTCCAAATTCCGTGAAAAACAGTATTTTAGTTATAACTCGAGAACGATTGTAGCTATGGGGCTAAAAGTCAGGATTGTTGTTATTTACGGTCTGATACACCTCTGGTCCAAATTTGAGGCCGATTGGATGTAACCCGGCGAAATGCCAGATGGGTCGTTTTTTTGGGACACCCTGTACAACGAGCCGTCATTTCATTGATTGATTAAAAAAAACTTTTTATACCTTTCAGTATAAAACACATAAATTTGTGCAACAATGTGAGGTTTTTAAGCATTTTCTATTGTCAAAGCCATGGATTTCTTTAAATTAAATAGGAAAATAAATCATAAAGAGGCCGATCCTCTTTTAAAGTCTGGCGTGAATCTATGCACTACCTGCTACTCAATGTCGCCGCAAGGAACTAAAGATTGGCAAGCCTGTGCGAAACATAAAATTTGTTTTGTTTTTTTTTTGTTGGAATTAAAATAACTAATAATAATCGTTAATTCAGTTTTAAAACCCTCTACCGCAAAAAAACCCAGTTCTATAATTTATTTTTAATTGTTTTGTTCTAAGATAAATAGATCGGACTATTTAAATCAAAGTGCAATAATTTGTAGCGTTTGATCGTACGGGGAGTTTATTTCTTTTTGCGATTTTAATTAAATTTTAGCCGAATGCGACTGAGTCTTAGTATAGTTTTTTTTTTAATTTACGAGCTTCTAAACCGAAACATTTATTTGAAAACCTGAAAATCCATTTCAGGTCGATGGGGTGTTAGTTTTACGGATGATTGCCCTGCACGCCGGCGTGATGTTCTGCACCGAGATCACGGACGCGCTATGGAAAAGGTTAGTCTTTTTTAAGGGCCATTGAAGGCAAATTTTGCCGCTTTGAAAAATCCTATCCAACAGGGCATTATAAAGAAAAAAAATGTGACGCATATTTTTTTGAGAGAAGCATCAATTTTTATGAAATCGCCGCGATTTTTTAAGCCAAACAAATCGTTTTTAAGGAAGAAAATCCCCTGACAATCGCGAAATTATTTAATTTTTCCAGATACCTCTCCCAACACCCCGAGAATTTGATAGACGAAGACTCGAGCTTGATAAGCTTTGCCAGGTGAGCTAGAAAATTTTTGACCACTATCATCGGTAACTACGATATTTTTGAAACATATAATTTTTAACCTCGGTTTTAGGGCCCAATCGATCCGCCGAAAACGGCACGAGAGCCCTGGCGGTGGTGGCACTGAACCGAATACTCATGCTCGCCTGGGGCGGATACTCAGCCATCGGTATGTAGTCACGAAGAGAGAGCGAGAGAGAGAGAGAGAGAGAGAGAGAGAGAGAGAGAGCGAGAGAGCCAGAGAGCGGGCGGGAGTGAGAGACGGGGAGAGAGAGAGCGAGAGAGAGAACGAGAGAGAGAACGCGCGAGGGAGAGAGGGAGAGAGAGAACTTAATTGAATTAATGAAACCCAAATCCATTAAATAAAACCTCCTTCAGGACGGGCGGTAGCTTTCGCCTCAACCGTACGCAAAGCACCAACCGGTCGCTCAACACGGATTCGACGGGCGCGCCGAGTGTCCCCGGAGCCGCTACTGTATGTTGACATGTTTAAGCTACCCTCTAGCTTACCTAACCCATTAATGTGTAGTTTCCTTTGGTGCTTTGGCAATATCGGGGGTGGTAGACTTTTTCTTAAAATCAGCTTCTTTAGAATAAATTTTTAGGAAAAAAGAAGTGTTTCTGAAGCGGATTTTGCTTTTCGTAAACGTAAAAGCTCAATAAATTATAATAAGAGATTTAAAAACCTTTTCTTCCAAAATTCCCCGATTTTCGACAAAATTATAGACATTTTCTAAGGTTTCAAAATACCTTTCAATTGGCCATCTAGCTAAATACTATCAAAAACTATTTTTTTAAAAAGTGCAAATGCTAAACCGTTTTGTACTAATCTCAAACGTAAAAACCTTACAAATTGCTTAATTTTCAAAAAAAAGAATAACGACCAAAAAAACCGTTTTTGAAAATGATTGCAAGCTTTAGGTAGTTTTTCTAATTAAAATCTAATTTTATTTTACTAAACATTATTAAAATAGTTCCAATTAGTTTGATAGGAATTTCTGGACTATAAAAAAGCTTCGCCCCTCGATATTGCCAAAGCACTGTTCCTTTTACTAACCCCCCA